AGGTGCTGGCGAAACGTTAGGAAACAGAACTTCAAGAACACGGCCACACAGCCCGGAAGACCCACACCAGCCATCGTATGCCAGCCGTGAAAGCCTTCGACAATACAAAAAAATAGAAGTTTCTTGAAGCTACCAATATAAGCAGGTTGACTACTGCTGGTTATGGCCTATATGGCAAGGCTGCTGGATATATGAGGGATCACCTTGCTAAGCATGATTCTGCCCAAGTCTCCCTATCCTGTCTGGACATCTATAGAGAGCCTGCTTCAGATCCCATCCCCCTAGGAAGTGAAAGGAGTATGGGATACAAGACGGATCTTCTCTGTGGGCCACTAATTGTATGATTATGATTTCTAGAGTTTTCATGGATTTTAATGCTTGTGTTCAGCACACAGAGTTTTTGAGGTCGGGGCAGTATATAAATGCTGTATAGTCAAGTTGGAAATGAAAATACAACATACACATCATTATTAGCTGTGTACATAAGGGCCAGGCCTTTCAACAGATGTGGCTTCCCTCATTCTCTTCTTTGTGTGTCCAAAGGAGAGGCAGGATTTCTGTTATCATTTGCAACTGACTATTCTGATTATTCTGATTTACTGAACTAAGATTGAGCCCTTTGCTAGCACACCTAGTCACAAGATACGATAGTGACCTGTAGCTTAGATTGCTTTTATAAAATGAATTAGGCAAATGAATAGGGCATTTCCATTTCAAAGTTAAGTGCTCTGGAATTTATTTTATTTATTTTTGTTTATTGGATTTTGAGGCCACCAGACTCTGAAAAGACTCTGGGAAGCTTACAATGGTTAAAAGAAGAATAATTGGGGAGCGGGGAAAGGAATGTGTCTGCCTGGACAAAATGACATGAATAACATCCAAAAAACAATTCAATCAGATTCCGCTGATTCAGTGGTAGAACAGAAATCATGAATAAAGTTGGCACTCCTATCAAATAAGTAGTGGCTGTGTTCACACATGTTAAGCCAGTTGCTCAGACTGAGTTCAACACACTGACTCATGTTTAAAGTTCAATATATAATGCAAAGTTAGAATCTTGGATTGAGTAACTGTACTAAGGTTACTCAACCTACTTTTCTGAATTTGCATACTGTGCTAATCTGTAAACAAACCACATATAATCATATCATGCAAATACAGCTTAAGATTTTAGATCTCTGAGTACTTAGAAATGCTGTTACTTTATTTTTAGAGACTGGCTGGCTGCATACATAGCATAAAACCATGGTTTGTTGAACGAGCCAAAATACCTCATTCCACTCCAAAGACTAAGCTATAAACCATGATTTACAATCCACCTAGGGTTCCTATACTTTGAGCCAAATAAATCACATTATGAGCCTCGGTCTACCAGATTCTGAGATCAAATATGAGATAGACACCGTAGAACCACTGTGTGATTCTACTTTGAGGACAAATAAATTAACCATCTTCTAGTAAGATCTGGGATCTGGTTAACAATGGTTGAACAGAACAATGGGCTAGATAGCTAATAAGTCATACAGAGTTATGAAACTTTGTCTCGTACTCCCAGTATAATCCAGCTTTCTCCTGCAATAGCTCCACAGCCCTTAGCAACACAACCTTCCCACATTGGCCACCTGATACACTGTGACTGGAGTATCCCATGATTGAACTTGCATAACAGCTATGGCACTGCTGGAGAATTATATAGTCTGTCTGAACAGCCAGAAAGGACGTTTGTCTCCAGCTAATAAAATCGAAAGCATTATCTGCTTTTGCAAAATAGTAATGGTATATGTACCAAGCACAAGTTACAGACACTTTATAGATTGCCAGGAGTATTGAGGATTTTATCACTCATTCTGCATAGAGCAATTTATTACATCCTTCGCAGTTCGCTTTGTTGTTAGCATAATGCCTTAATTTAAAACTTTATTTTTAAAGAAAAGAAAAAGGGGCTTGAGGATTTTTACAGTATCGCAAGCTCCACAACAGTTTTGTTCCTTTCTCCTGAATTGTTTTCTTGACCCTGTAATTTTAATTTTTGGTCCCCCTGCTATTCATTCTACAGACAGCAAAGCATCTGCTGTTTCATATAGCCAATAAGCTGAAATCTGCTACTGAGATATCAGTTAATAACGAAGAAACATGCATACCAAAATACCGTCTGATCTAAACGTGAATAAACCAACAATGACTGATTTTGGCAAGTATACATAAACCCAAAGTCAAACGAATGGTTTTGAAGTGCGTGTGATCATTTTTAAAATTCCAATACTGTTAACAACATTTTGTTGTTGGGCCATTGGAGTCCATTGGAGCTGGGAAGACAATACATTTAAATCAATCAATCAATCAATCAATTTAAAATTGCTTTTCAATACTTGATTGTTTAGAAGCACAAGTAGA